TTTTTTTTGTAACTCCAACTACGGCGGCCGGGAAGGGGAGAGGCAAGGCTTCGCCCGGCTGCCGGTACGGGTTCCGCGACAGAATGGCCCTGGATGGGTGGAGTCTCAGGCATCCCCGCCCCCCGCAGGTCCCGCCCACGGCCCCGCCCCGGCGTGGAGTCCGCGTCTCGAGTCCGGCGCGGGGCTGGAGGATCCTCCCAAACATGGTAGCGCCGGGATTTATAGTTGGGCTGGTGTTGCCTTTAATCCTGCCGGCCGACACAAGTGCAGGTGAGGCGGCCCGGCTTGGCCCAACCTGTGCCGGTCAGCCTGCGCGGGCTCGGAGATCCCTCGTCCTCTGCAGGACCCGCGAACCGCGAACCTGGAGCCGGTCCTCCGACCCGACCCAGGCCTAGGCCGCAGGTGTCTGCTGGGCGGGAGTTCCGGCTGGTCAGCTTCTTCCCCGTCCTTTCAACGTCGTCACGTTGCAGCGTGTGGGGCAGAGGGAGGGTTGGGTGTATCTGATTGGGGAGGCCCAAATGTGCTAGACCGAGGCCCTCGGGGTCTTTGAATAACTTCAAGGGAACTCGAAGGGAAGGGGGCGAAGCTAGTTCGATAGTATTTGGAAACAGGTAACTGAGTCATCCAAAACATTTCACTTCTGCCCCCACAGTAGTACCCTTGGGGAGGGTTTGCTGCAGGCTTGGTTCCTTGGGGGAATTAAATTTTACTAGTTTAAGTGGTGATTAGGACTAAGAAATACAACCCCCTCACTAGCTAAGAATATTTAAGGCTTAGCTTTGATTGCTGGCGCAGCTTACAGGGATAATATGCGTGACACTGGGGAGGAGGGTGACTCACTTTGACTACTGTCCAGGTCAGATCCTGTCATTTGAATACCCCAGGCTGGACCCTGAGTCACAACCGTGGAGAACCAGAAGACGGAATCTGCGTGCTAACGCAAAGTAAAGTGATAATGCTGGCCTTGTTTTTTTCTTTAAACCATTCGAATTGTGGACCCCAAAGTTCCCTGCTAAGAAATGAAAGTTGAGGTGAGAATAGGGACAGGGTGCAGAAAAATGGCTCGTGCTCTATCTGAGCACCCAGAAGTACCCAGACAAACCAACTGCCGCCCCTAAGTAATTTTTCAGGCTTTAACAAAGTGTAAACCAGCAGCACTCTCTGCATATCATTTTTTGCCTCTCACCCTCACTCAGTGACCTTTGAGTCCAGCATATGATAGGCGAGTAGGGCCATTATTTTATTAACTTTTCTGTTAAAGGCTGTTATCTTTAATGCCGGTGCAATATTCTGTCTTCACCCTGGGTCATATGCCCATGGTTACTATCTAATATTTGAAATGTACAAAAGTATATGAGCAATGAAACAATAAAATGAACACCCAAAGGTGCTGCACCCAACTTAAGAACTAGAATATTGCCAGTTTTATTGAGACTCCCAGGATGTTCCTCCCAGGGCATCCAGGAGTTCCTCGCCAGAGGTAACCTACCCACTGGATTAATTTCATCACTCACTAACAGAACACTAATTCTTGTTTTCTACTCCAACATCCAAATGAAGGAAAAATTGAAGACCTAAGGAAAAAAGATTCAAATGCTAAGTGTCTTGTGCTTGACAAAAAGAATGACCAGTCCCGCCTCCTTTCTCGTTCTCCTATTTTGTCCATTGCTCAATTCCCTGGTAATGTTCCACTGTCTACTCTTATTAGCTTGGAATGTGAGCTTTATAAGGGCAGAGAATATGACTTTTTTTTTTTTAATTTACCAGCAATATCTGCAGCAGACTGGAAATTGCAATAATAACTCTGGAATCAGGTGACTTGGTTTCTAGTCCTTTTGTAAACTACCTGTGCGATTTAAGGTCAGTCAAAGGAGTTTAATATGTGCAGTGTGGATAGCACTGTGCCTGCCACAAATAAGCTCCCCGGTAGAATGTAAGCTTCCTGCTGCTGGTGAGGCTTTTTGTCTGTGTTTTGTTTTCCCTTTATTGTTTTCTTCTTTCTTTTTCTTACTGTTCTATCCTCAATGCTTAAAATGGTGCCTGGCACACAGTAGGCATTAATACAAAATTTGTTGAATTCATTAATATGCAAGCTATTAGGTAAAATTACCTAATCTACCTGGGTATCAGTCTGTTGATCCATAAATAACATGATTGTACCTTGGGGTGTGAAAGATCCTTTCTTTCTTAAAATTAAAATTCTTTAACTCAGAATAGAGCCAGGCACAATGAGGACCAGTAAGTGTGTGTTGGCGAAAACAGACTGACTTGGAAAGATGTGTCCCCGGCACAATGAGACAATGGCTGCACTCTTAGAGAGCCCTTCCTTTGTATAGGCTCATGTGCAAGCGACAGCCAGTTTTCGACACTCCGTTCCCCTACCCTCACCCTCTTTCTGCTTAGCTCTTAGCCCTTTGGTTTTCAGTTCTTGTTCCATATGAAGCACCTACCCAAGACTAGGCCCTCCCACACGTGTGCCTCTCCCCTTCCCTCCAGCAGGCTGCCAACGTGCTTATGCAATTCTGGGATGTTAGAGTCTCTTCTTAGAGCATTTTGCTTGTGGTAGCTGTGCATCTCCAGCCCATTATCCAGCCTTCTGGATGATTGTTGGTTGTCATGTAGGTTTTATGATGGAACTAACTCATGAGAGAGCGCTGAGGATGTTTAGCGACTGGGCTGTTATTTGAAGCAAATAGGCCACCGAGTCTGTATGGGAGACCCTGTTAGCTTTGCTGCCCTGTTAAGTATAGCCTCAGGGGCCATCATCATTTGTAGCTTTCAGGGAAGAAACCTTGTTAGTTCTCATTCTCTTTCCTGCCTATCATTTTTGTTTAAAATGCTTAAAAAAAAATCTTAACTTTGTTAATTATTTTCTTCTAGGGATTTTAGTCTGTTTTGTTCAGACAAATTGGGACATAACTTAAGAAGATTTTTCCCCCCTTGTTAAGTTTTGATGAGGAACTCACTGAGATAATTTGGATAGATGCTTGTTATTAATAAAATACTTCAATATAGGCTGCATGTTAAAAATAGGAATGATCTCGTTAAAGTAAGTTCTTATTCAGTCTTGTTAGTGACTCTAGAATAGAATCTACAGTTTCAAGTGCTCTTCCTCTTGTTCTTTTTATATAACTTAGCTTGTGAAATGGGTAAAATTGAGACGAAAGACCTTTGTTCTGACATTTTGACCCTCTATTTCTCGCCGACCTTATTTTATCATCTTAATTTATTTGAATTTACCTTAGAAGGAAGCAGATGTCACAGATATTCATAAATGCTTATTTAAAATTTTTAGTGGGTTGTCAAAAAAAAAACACAATAAGGGGAATTATTTGTAGGAGTCGACACTGGTGGGAAGGAAAGGGGGGAGATAAAGAATGGGGGAGAGATTAGGGGAGGCTGTGTTGGAGAGAGGCAGGTTTCTTTATTCCCAGCAACAAGGAGTGGGCATGGTAATGGAAAGTAGGGGAAGGAAGTGGTTTATTTTTCTCATAAATACCATCTGTGGGGTGCATAAAAGGAGCATTTTAACAATTTGGAGGGAGAGCGCAGAGCGTCAGGGCCAAGCTTGAGAGCAAAGGATGATCAAGAGCTCTGAAGCAGAGGAGGCTTGTGGCACATTGGTTGCCGTAGGCTCTTTGAATTTTCCTTATTGGTCATCTTGTACTATGATGCATATTATTGGCAACTGCTCTTGTTATGTTGCTTACCTAATTAGGACGAATAAGATCTAGTTTTAGAGGATTAAAGGGTCTGGGTATATTCAAATTGTCCTGTATAAAAGCTTTATGGTTTCTTGCTGTTTAACCAGATTCAATTGGTGATGAATCCCCCAATGATGCTTTTCTAAGTGTTGGTTAACATTTTTAGATGTCCGTTTTCGCTTTGCTTCATACATCAATAATTACATGGTGCTGCAGAAGGAGCCCGCAGGGGCAGTGATCTGGGGCTATGGCATATTCGGAGCCACAGTGACAGTGACTTTGTGCCAAGATAAAGAAACCATCATGGAGAAGGTGACGAGTGTGAAAGGTAAGGCTGCTCATCCTCTGTTCAGCTTTTGTCCTCTTCTGCCACCTGCTGGATAATCTGAAAAACGAACACTGGTGCTGGAACTCAGGTTGTCGCACCCATCCATTTAAGTTTGAGTATTTATCATGTGTTAGGCACTGAGGACACAAAGAAAATTAAGACAGAGTCAAAGTTCCTGCCCTCCAGGATCTCACGGCATAATGGGAATAGACACCAAGTCATAAAGTGCAGTGTGATAAATGCTATGATGAAGGTGTATATAGGCTGTTGTGGGATACAGAAGAGAAGCGTCTAACTCAGGTTGGATGGTAAGAAACAATTTCCCCCGAAGGTGACATTTGAACTGAATTATACATAAAGGAGAGGCAGTATGGAGGAGTGCTTAAGGAGTGAGGCTGTGGCCTCACTGAGCTCAGGTTCTGATGCTATAACCTCAGGCATGTTATATAACATCTCTGTGTCATAATTTCCTTATTTGTAAAGTGGAGATAATGATATTTAGGGTAATTGTAAGGATTAAATGAATTAGCACATGTAAACATGTGTGTTAGCTGCCATTATTATTATTATTGTTATTATAATATTTAGAGAGTCACTCAAATATTTATTGAGTGCCTATGTGCCATATATTGTGTTAGGTACTGGTAATACAGTGATTAGCAAGATAGATGTGGTCTGTCTCCTAATGAAGCTGACAGATGAGGGAGGAGGCAGAAAATGAATAAGCAGTTACAGGTAAGTTAGGTGCCTCAGTGTGGAAGCACAGTGTGCTATGGGAGTGCTTAGGAGAGATAATTAACTTAGTCTAAGATTTATCTTGAAAAGTGAGTAGGGCAAACCAGGTAGGGCAATAGCCTGGAGCCATGGAGGCATGAGGGAGCATGGGTCATTGGAGAAATGGCAAGCAGGTTGGTTTGTCTAAGCACCGGAGTCTGCGACTGGTGGCCAAATAATCAGATTTGTATTTTAAGAAGGTAACTCTGGCAGCACCATGGAGAGGAGAGCGGAGGTCAGTAAGAATAGAGGTGGTGGGAACCGTTAGCCTGTGATATTTAGGCAATAGGTGACAAAGGCCTGACCCACCTGACCACCTTGGGCACCACCCAAGGTAGTGGTTGTAAGGATATTCAAGAAGGTGAGAACCAGAAGCTTCTGTGAGCAGACAGGTCCTACAAAGGAGTCTTTGTCTAGAAGGGGTAGAGTTGTGTAAGTTGGCATGTGAAAGAGCATAGCTAGAAGTTAACTGCATATTGGAGGCCACAGTCACGGCTGGGTCAAGTGGAGACAGGATCAGATCTTGGTTAGAGGTAGTGATATAGCCATGAAATGTTGAAGGTGAGAGTCAGACGGGTAACAAGGCTGCTTTGGGGAGCAGGGGTGTTCATGTGGGAGTTGGTAGTTTGAGCAGTGACTTGAAGATACATATGACAGGGAAGCTTGTGGGAGTTTTATTGGGCCTTGAAAACAAGGGTTTCCTGATTAGTTTTGTCAATATCCAGTCCAGAGTGAACCAGACCCTGGTGCAGCCTCTTTATAATTCATTTCCATACAAAAAACATTTTTTTAAGTTTATTTATTTTGAGAGGCAGAGAATGCGCGCGCGCACACACACACACACACACACACACACTTGCATGTGAGCGGGGAAGGGGCAAAGGGAGAGGGAGAGAGAATCCTAAGCAGGATCCATACTGTCCGTGCAGAGCCCAACAGGGGGCTCAAATCCATGAACCGTGACATCATGCCCTGAGCTGAAATCAAGAGCTGGATGCTCAACCGACTGAGCCATATAGGTGCCCCAACAAACATTTAGAAATACTATGTGCCAGGCATAGATGTGAGGTGAGTGCTTCTAGTTCTTGGATTGTAAGACTGTTTAAGGTAAGAATGTTTTCGGGTGACACTAAGAGACTTGAAAGGGGAAGCTTAATCTGATTGAGAAGTTGTTCTCTGTTAGATTTAAATGCTACTGGTGACCTGTGGGATGTGCTGAAAATGAATTCAAGAGACAATTTTTGTGTTGTGTCTATCTTAGAAATTAACAGCATAGAGTATAAATACTGGTGATCACAGTTGATTTAGAAATCCAAAGAGCTGCTGTAGTTTAAAAATAAAAAATAGGGTTTCCTTGGCTAATAATTAACATTACCAATAAATATGTAGGAGACAGAGACTACATAGTACTATAGTGATAGATGCAAAAGAGTATACGTATACTTTATATTTGTTAGGCTCTCTACATTTGCTTGGTAGGAGAGAAAAAATAAAATATTTATTTTTTTTAGATCCATAAACCTACTTATAAGGACATATTGTTGTGTTCTGTACATGAAGCAAAATGAATAAAGTGTTATTTGGAATAAAGGAGGTAGACATGTAGGAAATTTTATAGGGCAAAAAAAATGTTTCTCAAAGGAAACACTACAGGGTATATGGAAAGGTTGACTTCTCTTTAAATTTGATGAGGACTCTGGGATTTTCAGCTAGACTACCTCAGTTTGTCATTCTGTCTCTGTTAATATTTAACTTATTACCTATAATCAATCCCCTGGGTGCCCACAACAAAATGGAATTAACAGCATGAAGATTTTTGTCCAGCAGACTGACACTTAAGCTTTGGGATGGTTCAATTAAAACTTGAGGGATGATTGGGAATATGGGTCAGGTACTGGGCCTAGTCAAACCATATCGTCAAATGATGCATGATGAGTTTTTCAGACACAAGGAATAAAATTGGGGAGGGGAGGGTATATCTTTTCACTTTGACATACATGGGGGATAAAATGAGAGTGTGTCTGGATTCATCATCATGACCTGAGGTAAGTAGGGATATTTACTTTAACTTAGAAAATTACAAAAAGCCTAAACCCCTTAGAAAAGTAAAAAGCTCCTGGTTGCAATGTTAGCATGCACACTAGTTTTCTGTGCTATACAATAAATTACCACAAATTTAGGTGCTTAGAACAACACACTTTTATTATGGCACAGTTTCTATAGATCTGAAGCCTGGGCCATTGCTTAGCTGGGTTTTCTGTTCAGGGTCTCACAAGACCGAAATCAAGTGTTGGCTGGGCTGTGTTCTCATCTGGAGGCTTGACTAGGGAATGATCCACTACAAGCTCATGTAGGCTGCTGGCAGATTTCCTTCCTTATGCCTATAGAATTCATGGAAACATCTCTACTGCTTCAAATCTCTGACCTCTAGACCTTCTTCTGTTTTTTTTTTTAATTTTTAAAAATCTTTTATTTATTTTTGAGAGAGAGAGACAGAGTGTGAGCAGAGGAGGAACAGAGAGAGAGAGGGAGACACAGAATTGGAAGCTGGCTCCAGGCTCTGAGCTGTCAGCACAGAGCCCGACACAGGGCTTCAGCTCACAAGCCCTAAGATCATGACCTGAGCTGAAGTCAAACGTTTAACCGACTGAGCCACCCAGGAGCTCCTAGACCTTATTTTTAAAGGGCTTACCTTATTAGGTCAAGCCCACCCAGGGTAATCTTCCTTTTTATTAACTTAGTGTCAACTGATTTGGAACTTTAATTACATCTGCAAAACTCCTTTATCTTTTCCATATAATGTAACCCAAATCACAAGAATGACATCTCCTCTCCCATGCCATTTTCTGATGGTTGGAAGCAAATCACAGATTCTGCCTGAATTTGAGGGGAGGGGATTTTGTACGGGTGTGACTTATTGGGTGGGTCACCTTAGGGTGTTATATGCCATAGCATGCTATACTTTAAATAATTTGCATAAATAGTTTTATTGATGGAAAAATGTTCAAGCTCTTTTTTTGCTTTTTATATTCATATTTGGTGGTGGTGATGAACTTTATACAGAATAAATGAAGGTTGCAAAGGGGCAGTTTGGGCAGTAAGACCTTCTTTACCTCCAAGTCACTTCTCTTTTTTTTTTTTTTTTTTTTTTTTTTTTTTTTTTTTTTTTAATTTTTTTTTTAACGTTTATTTATTTTCGGGACAGAGAGAGACAGAGCATGAACGGGGGAGGGGCAGAGAGAGAGGGAGACACAGAATCGGAAACAGGCTCCAGGCTCTGAGCCATCAGCCCAGAGCCCGACGCGGGGCTCGAACTCACGGACCGCGAGATCGTGACCTGGCTGAAGTCGGACGCTTAACCGACTGCGCCACCCAGGCGCCCCTCCAAGTCACTTCTCTAGATCACTAAACTGATTTGCAGCTGGTGAAGTGCCAGGGTTTTGTGGGAGAAGAACTTCTTCCAATTCTAGGCTTTTCCTCTTGAGGAGGGAAAGGTCATGGATAATTTCCTTTTTTCTCTTCTTGGCATCTGAGATTTGGCACAATAATCTGAAAAATAATTAACATCTGATGTGAATAGCAAAGAGAAAAAAGCATGAATGCACCTTATGACTAATCAGGTCTTTAGACAAATTCTTTTAATTTTTTTCCCTTTGATTATTTGTTCTTCTGATTTTGAGGTGGCGGGTGGTCAGGGAGATGGAGAGAAGAAAATGAAGAGAGTTCTTTACTTCAGTTGTTGGCTGGAACATGAAGAGAAGAGGGACAGGAAGAAATAGGCCCCCAGATATGCTAACCATTGGACACAGAAACACAAAGCCTGATTAGTAGTTTGCATGGCTTTCTTGGTGGTGTAACTCAGGACTGAGGTTTACTCTCTGCTGTTCACTGAATGCCTCGCACACAGTAAGCACTCAAAGTAACCATGTAATAAAGGAAGGACATGAATCTTCCTACATGGGAGATGAAAGAATGCGAGGAAGCAGAGATTTGAATGCAACAAACATGAGAATTTACAGAAATCCAGGCCTGGATTGGTAAGCAAGGTCACAAGATTCGCGTGTGATTAAGGTCCAGAAGAAGGAACCAGAACAGCTGTTGCTCAGAAAGTCCATCAGGATGAGCAGAAATTCAGCTGGATGGTGAACTTCCAACTCTTCGTAGTTGGTGACTCAGTTTTATTATTTGGATTCAACCTAGTGGACTTGGTGGGGGGGGGGTGGTCAACAAAGTTTCTAAAGACTGTAACTGGATTTCATCATCCTGTGGTGAGCTCCACTTTAACCAGCCAGTCCTCAACTCGATGGCCAAGGACTAACCACTTCTCTTGTGAAATGTGGTGATTTCTACTTTTGTAATCCCATCCTTGCCTTTGGTGTAAGAACCAGCCTTCACAGAGCTTGCTCTCCTTTGTGTATACTTACATGGGAGTCAATCCTCAGTGTCTTAACCAAATTGTTTCTAGGTTGGTTTAACCATTAGTAAGCTCTCTGCAGTGGACCTGGTTTCCCCTGCATTCCCTGGCAGGTAACTTCACTTAACCCTCATTATTGTGTCAGTTTTATCAAGTGGGAGAGGAAAACAGCTTGAATCAAAAAGAGCTCAAGTATTAGACAAGAAGGAAGTTCTCTAAGGTCTTTGAGGGAGTTGAGAGTTTTCCTCAAGAGGGCAGTTCTTGGTGTGGATCCCTAGTTCTCTTCAGACTATTTAGGTACTAGAGGGAGCTCATTCTCTGGCTCTAGTAGGATGGCATTGCTATCTTTTGCCCAAACATCTCCCCCCTCCCTATTTGTCCTTCAGTTGCTGGGCAGTGAAACTTTTCAGAAACTCTGGTGAAGGTAACTTTCTTCACCGGCCATATTGCGTGGATTGAGGCTAAGTGTAAATATCTAATTAACAGTGACTAGAAATAGATTGCACAGTAGTAGAAAGCTAAAGAAATTCTGCCCTAGGTTTTTTGACCTCCTCATCATAAATGAGTAATGTTTGTGGCAGAAGGACAGAGACTTAGTAAGATATGTGAGTGCAAGAAGCCTGGAAAGACCTTGGCAAGATTGTAGTGGGGACAGATTGGAGTGTCTGCCTGTTCAGAAGCGTGAGCCATATGGAGCACATCACACCTGTGCGACACAATCTGTACTAGCTGCCCACTGTTTCCAAAACAGTGATTTTTCTGCTTTAGGTGAATTATACATTTAATATGTTGATGTCTGGCTATTGGTGGTATAAAAACAATAGTGAGCATTTGGTCCTGAGCTTACTTGACCTCTAAGGGATGGGAGTAGCAGTCTCAGTGGGTTGTACTTTCGAGAGGGGCAAGCATGCACCCTTTCGCTGATGCCTTCAGGCTTTTGGACATTTTCCCCAAGACTCTGAACAATATGTGTGGTTTGAGCTTTTCCTAATCTCCTGTCATGCATCCGGACTTCTCATGCTTCTGCTTAGCTTTTGCTGATTGGGAAGAACTTAGCGTAGCATCTAGCACTTAGTAGGCACTTGGATACTTTTTTTTATAATTATAATTTTTGCTGGCTGCTATAACTTTAGGGTGCTCCATTTCCACTTCTCACTATTCTTTCCCTCTGAATTAACATTAATCTGATGGGCACAAATTAGAAATTATTTTGTAGCCTTTGGCATGATGCCAAGAATATTTATTTTAAAATGATCATTTCTCTATTTTCTTTATTCTCTTCTCACTCTCCTTTTTTCAACTTTGTTCATGTTGTTTGGTTCTCCCAGGCATCATTTTGCCATTTTGAAGATATTTTCCCTAAGTTTCTGAGTATGATGTTGGCAGTGGTGGTGGTATGAGTGGGTGAGAGGTAGGAAGGTGGTAGGGGGGTGGTTCCTAAGGAATGTGCTATGAATTTCTGAAACAGGGTCTTGGATAGCTTTTCATCTTCCTAATTGAGTCCGAAAACCTTAAGTCTGGTAAGTAACTCTGTGAAAATAATTAATTGGGCATGTCTAAATATCTTCTTCACAGAGAGATCAATTGGTGATTAATCTGAAATTGGTACTATGTATGCTCCTACTCCTTTGTCCTGTGTCAGTTTCTCTGTTCACCTTAAGGGAAGTTCCAGATTGTAAATTATTTTCTCTAATCTGTGTTCACGTTTGATTAGATAATTACAAATTAATTTGGGGCACTGCATAAATCTATTAGATCATGATTATATTAATACTGACATTTGGATAGTATAATATGAATTTCTATTTTATGTTTTTTTTTTTTAATTAAGTTTTTTTTTCGTGTTTATTTATTTTGGAGAGAGAGACAGAATGCGAGTGGGTTGGGGGCAGAGAGAGAGAGGGTGACACAGAATCCGAAGCAAGTTCCAGGCTCCAAGCTGTCAGCACAGAATCCGACGTGGGGCTTGAACTCATGAGCTGTGAGAGCATGACCTGAGCTGAAGTCGGACGCTCAACCGACTGAACCACCCAGGAGCCCCTATTTTATGTTTGTTTTTTTAAAATTAAACTCCCTTGGATTTTAATCTCAGTATATTTTTGTCTGTTCTCATTTAGGATTATAACTGGGTGATTAATTTTTCCTGTAAATGCTTCAGTTACAAGGAAGGAGGGATTGGTACAGATTAAGGATAGAAATGCTACTGCTTTTGTTATTTCTTTTGCTTGTCTGAAATTTGGCTAATTTTCATATCTTTTTAAAGTTTGTTTTGAGAGAGGGTGAGAGCGAGAGAGCGAGAGAGAGAGAAAAGTGTAGGGGCAGAGAGAGAGGGAGAGAGAAGAGAGAATCCCAAGCAGGCTCCACACTGTCAGTGCAGAGCCCGACATGGGGCTTGATCTCACGAACTGCGAGATCATGACCTGAGCTGAGATCAAGAGTCAGCCTGTTAACCAACTGAGCCCCCCAGGTGCCCTAATTTTCTTATCTTTGAATTCAGTTAATCACAGTGGTTGGGAATAGCCACAAATGAATATGATGCATGACAGGATTGTGCTTTAATTTTGTTTTAATTGATTGATTAATTCCTTGGAGTCTTTTTATGATTTCAGCACATTCTAACAGCTGGATGGTGGTACTGGATCCTACGAAGCCTGGTGGACCTTATGAGGTGATGGCACAACAGACTTTTGGGAGAACAAACTTCACCCTGAGAGTTCATGATGTCTTATTTGGAGATGTCTGGCTTTGCAGTGGGCAGAGTAACATGCAGATGACGGTTTCACAGGTAATTTACAGAGTCTCAGTGTTAATAAATAATGATGATGAAGAAGAAGAAATAGAAGGTAGAGGAAGGGGACAAGTAGAAGGAGGTAGAAACCTTTTTCTGCCACGTGCCAAGATCTGTTCTCAGTGTTTGCCATGTGTTAGTTAATTCGATTTAACAACTTTATGAGGTAAGTATGGTTATTCATCTCACAGATGAGGAAACTGGCCCACTGAGGTTAAATTACCAGCTTCAGGTCACACAGTTCATAGTGCAGCCAGAATAGGAGCAGGTAATGCGACTCCAGAGCCTGCTTTCTTAATCACAGCTAGTGCTCTGTACGCGTGCAGGGCACCATTTCCTGGCCTTCCTGAGCTAAGGGCAGGAGCTAGAGTATCTGACGGCAAGAAAGATTTCATATCAAATTGAAGACAAAGTAGATTACTCTTCTTTTTGATTGGTCTTGATGAGCTTCTGGAGAGAGCCTGGGAAATCAAAACAATTAGAATTTGTTTCAAGCTGTGCGTCTAATATAATATATGTCTTTTGTTGTCATGGAGATTTAAAAAATCGAGACTGAATGTTGGCTTTGCCTTTTAGCAGTTACATGACTTGGAGAAAATCACTTCGTATTTCTGAGACTTTGTTTTCAAAACCTGCTTTTTAGGAGCACCTGGGTGGCTCAGTTGGTTGAGCATCTGACTCTTGATTTAGGCTCAGGTCATGATCCCAGGTCATGGGATCAAGCCCCGTGTTGGGCTCTGTGCTGAGCATGGATCCTGCTTATGATTCTCTCTCCTTCTTCTTCTGCCCCTCTCCTCTGCACCTGTGTGCTCTCTCTCTCTCAACCACCCCCCCCAAACCCTGCTTTAAAAAAATTGTGGTTAAAATGAGTTTTTGTTTATTTGATAAATGAATTTTATTTATCATATTTATCATTTTAACCATTGGTAATTGTACAACTTAGTGGCATTAAATTTGTTCACAACCCTCTGTGTACCTGTCAGCACTATCTGTACTCAAAAAATTTTCATCATCCCCAGCATCCCTCTGTACCCATTAAACAATAACCGCCCCCCTCTTTTTGCCTTCTTCCAGCCCCTGGTAACTTCTATTCTGCTTTCTCTCTATGAATTTGCCTATTCTAGGTACCTCAGTTTTCAGTATACAAGTCTCTTCCATCCTTAGCTAGATTTAGTCCTAAATATTTAATTCTTTTAAATGCTATTGAAAATGGAATCATACAGTCTTTGTCCTGTGTCTGACTTATTTTACTAAGCATAATGTTTTCAAGGTCTATCCATGTTGTAGCTTATATCAAAATTTTGCCCCTTTTTATGGCTGAATTGTATTCCATTGTGTATGCCACATATTGTTTATCCATTCTTCTGTTGATGGACACTTGGGCGGTTTCTGTCTTTTGGCTATTGTGAATGCGTACAGATACCTGTTCAAGCCCCTGCTTTCAATTCTTTTGGATATATACCTTTGAGTGCAATTGCTGGATCATCTATTAGTTTTGTGTTTAACTTCTGGGAAACCACCAAAACATTTCTACAGTGGCCGTACTGTTTTACATTCCTACCAGCAATCTGCAAAGGTTCAATTTCTCTAATGTGTTATTTTCTGTTTTTTTTTAATTAATTTTTTTTATTATAGCCTTGCTAATACATAGGAAGTGGTATCTCGTTGTGTTTAAATTTTTTTTTAGCTTTTTATTTAAATTTTAGCTAAAAAAAAAAAGTTGGGGCACCTGGGTGGCTCAGTTGTGAGTTCGAGCCCCACGTCAGGCTCTGTGCTGACAGGTCAGAGGCTGGAGCCTGCTTTGGATTCTGTCTCCTTCTCTTTCTGCCCCTCCCCATGTGTGCTCTGTTTCTCTGTCTCTCAAAAATAAATAACTGGAAAAAAATAAAAAAAAATTAATTTCAGCTAACATGCAGTGCAATATTGGTTTCGTGAGTAAAATTTAGTGATTCAGCACTTACATGATACCATCCAGTGCTCATCACAACAAGTGCCCTCTTTAATACCCATAATCTGTCTAGCCCATTCCCCACCCACCTCCCTCCATCAACCTTCAGTTTGTTGTCTATCCTTAAGAGTCTCTTATGGTTTGTTTCCTTCTCTCCTCTTCCTCCTCCCTTCTCGTATGTTTATCTGTTTTGTTTCTTAAATTCCACATATGAGTGAAGTCCTATGTTATTTGTCTTTCTGTGATTGACTTATTTCACTTAGTATAATACATTCTAGCTCCCTCCATGTCATTGCAAATGGCAAGATTTCATTCTTTTTGATGGCTGAGTAATATTACATTGTATGTATGTATATATATGTGTGTTTGTATATATACCACATTTTCTTTATCCATTCATCAGTCAGTGGACATTTGGGCTCTCTCCATAGTTTGGCTATTGTCAGTAATGCGGCTATAAACATTAGGGATATGTAGCCCTTCAAATCTGTATTTTTGTATCCTTGGAGTAAATACCTAGTAGTGCAATTGCTGCTGGATTGTAGGATAGTCCCAATTTTAGTTTTTTGAGGATCATCGTAGTTTTGATTTCCATTTCCCTAATGACTAATGATATTGGTCATTTGTATATCTTCTTTGGAAAAATGTCTAAGTTCTTTGCCTATTTTTGAATTGGGTTGTTTGTTGTTGAATTGTAGGAATGATTTGTATGTTCTAGATATTAACCACTTTTCATATGTATGATTTGCAAATATTTTCCCCATTCTGTAGGTTGTCATTTCACTTTCTTGAGAGTGTCCTTTGATACATAAAAGTTTTTAATTTCAGCAAAGTCTAGTTTATTTATTTATTTTTTTGTTTTCTATGCTTTTGATGTCACATACATGAAATTGTTGCCAAATCCAGTGTTAAGAAGGTTCCCCCCCCATGTTGTCTTCTAAGAATTTTATACTCTTATGTGTTTGATCCTTTTTGACTCAATTTTTATATATAGTGTAAGTTGAAGATCTAACTTCATTCTTTTGCAAGTGGATATGCAGTTCTTGCAGCAGCATTTGTTGAAGACTGTCCTTTCCATATTGAACTCTTGGAACTCCAATTGACCATATATGTGAGGGTTTATTTCTGGGCTTACTATTTTATTCCATTGGTCTATATGTGTCTCCTTATGCCAGTACCATACTGTTTTGATTACTGTAGCTTTGTAGTAAGTTTCAAAGTTGGGAAGTATGAGTCTTCCAACTTTATTCTTCTTTTTCAAGATTGTTTTGGCTATTCATGGCTATTCATATGGAATTTTCTTGCAATTCCATATGAATGTGAGGATATGCTTTTCCATTTCTGCAAGAAAGGCTTTTGGAATTTTGATAGATATTGTGATGAATCTGTAGATTGCTTTGGGTGATATTGACATTTTAATGATTTTAAGCCTTCCTGCTATGAAGGGATGTTTTTCCATTAATTTAGATCTTTAATTTTTTTCAGCAATGTTTTGCAGTTTTCAGTATACAAGTCTCTTACCTCCTTTGCTAGATTTATTCCTCAGTGTTTAATTCCTTTAGATGCTATTGTACATGAAATTTCTTTCTTAATTGCCTCTTAAGACTGTTCATTGCTGGTGTATAGAAACAAATGATATTTGCATGTTGGTCTTGTACCCTGACACTTTGCTGAATTTGTTTATTAGTTCTGGTAGCTTTCTTGTGAATTTTTTTGGGTTTTCTAATATAGGAGCATATCATCTATGGATAGAGATAGTTTTACCTCTTTGGATGCCTTTTATTTCTTTCTTTTTTTTTTTTTTTTTTTTTTTTTTTTTTTTTTTTTTTTTTTTTTTTTTTTTTTTTTGTCTAATAACTCTGGCTAGAGCTTCCTGTACAATGTTGAATAGTAGTGGTGAAAACAGACATCCTTCTCTTGTCCTGGTTTTAGTAGGAAAACTCTCACTCTTTCACCACTGAGTGTGATGTTACTTGTGGGTTTTTCATAAATGCCTTTTATCATGTTGAGGAATGATCCCTCTATTCCTAGTTGTCTGAGAGTTTTTACCACGAAAGTATGTTGCATTTTGTTAAACTAAGTCTGAGACTTAGTTTTCACGACTATACTGCAGTAGTGATTGTATCTGACCTAATTTACTGAGCCATTAAAAAGATTAAATTATTTTGTTTGTTTCTAAAAGGTCTTTATAAATTGAAAATAGCTGTCAAAATATAAGGTATTGCTATTTTTTCAAATTTTTTATTATAAAAAGTTTTAAGCACACAAAAAAGTTAAGAGACTTGCAAACACCTATATACCCACCACCTAGATTCACAGTTGGTAATATTTTGCCTTATGTGGTTTATCTGTTTGTGTGTGTGTGTGAATTATCTCAATGTAAGCTGTATATCTTGATATTTCAGTTAGGTGTCATATGTCAAATTGATACATATTCATGTATAAAATTAATATGTTGATTTATATGTACATATATGTATACATAATAGAAAATATGCTAGGTCTCAAAATTTAAGAACAGCTAATCTTCAAAGGCTGTGATGTATATATAAATATAAACATATATTTGTATATATTTTTTTACACAGAAAGAACATATATGTATATATACATATTTTTTTTAACAGAAGGCCAGTGATGATTTTTTTTTTGCTCAACTTTTTCATAGCCTAGGATTTCTTTTGTTAGCATCAATTCATTTTTCTCTGTTTCACTCACAGCCTTTGAAGACGTTCTTAAATTTTGAGACCTAGCATATTTTCTCCTTTATGATAACTGTATAGAGGCTTCACTAGGCTCTATTTACTCTGCTAGAATTGTTGGGAGGAAAGGCACTACACAGGCTCCCAAGTAGGGACGGGACACACAGGGTGCATGGAGTCATGTGGGATGGAACCAGGGAATACTGACTTGCCATCTGTTGGTCAGTGACGAAATTCACTTTGAAGGGTTCCGGTGTTCGTTGCTCTTAGAGAATAGGGCTGCCCTGACAGACTATGAGTGAGGTCTCTTAAGTAAAGCTGGGTAAAAAGGACACTGAAGGGGCGCC